TCCATGAAGGTAAAAAGACATCAAGGCATTTTCTCTGTACCTGGAAGTGAGATGCTGTAAGACATTTATACTCACTTATTGTCTTAGAAGCAGCAGATGGTTCTGTTGGAGTCTTCATTCAGCAGAAATCTAGACGAGATGGACCTGATGGCTAAGCCCAACAGCTTTAAGTCGATGACTGAGAGCTTCCCATTTCTTCTTGAATCGATTCCAGTCTCATAGACATTACGCAAGGCATATGAATACTATTTTGTTGGCCTCCAAGCCGCCATTTGTATTATGCCATTTTGTACACAAAAAGCGGATGAACACAAACGTGGTAAGAAGAGGACATGTAAAACATTTTCTGTTCTGTTAAGCCTCTCACAGCAAATGTCACAGTTGGACAGAGGGGAAGTGGGAGGTTGTTCTGTCTGACGGTCAGTTTCCGAAACCACACACACACAAAAAAAAGCGCACACGGGGTCAGTTCGACCCTGCTGGACCACGCACACAGTAAACAACACGTGGGGTATAAATGACTCCATCTCTTAAGACCGCGGGAGGGATAAATATCTAAGAGGGTAAGGCTGTGTAAAAGTCTGTAAAATAGCAGTCACTGACACCACAATAGTATTTTCTTTTTTGTTGTACTGCTTTACATGATGACTTGATTTTATTTAGGTTTATTATTCAAACAAGTTCTTAAAAACAAGAAAACAAGCAATCAGTAGGACAGAGAAAACATCCGTATACATAACCTAGACCAATTTGTTTCCCACTACGTTTCTGTTTGAAAAGGAGTAGGAAGAAGTGAACACTTATTTAATCCTACCCTTTTTCTCAATTAATCAGTTGTTCTACTCTCTGTCCATGTTTCACATGGGAGGATCATTTATTGTACTCGTATACATGTTTAATGCACATGTGCCCTGAAGTTCAAGGTTCACGTAATGACATTAACATAAACTGTGTTTGACATTGGAGTTGTTTTAAGATGGCGGAAGCCCAGTTTGGTCATACGTCCTCAGCTTTCACCTTAACTAACCTGGATTCATAATGAACAACGCTCATTCACTGTCCTTTTTCAAAAATTCAGAATTATGTCTTTACATTGTTGAAGTCTGACATCTAGTCTTTTTCTCTCTTTCTTTTTTTTTTGTGTCACACACAGATGATATCAATGGGCAGACATCCGATGGAGGACAGCCTGGAGGTGACAACACACAAGAACCCCACCCCAAGCCCCCTGCTGTGAAGGTGGTCGGCGGGTCGCCACCTACAAGCTGGCAGCAATCGCGGTGCCTCGCTTTGCTTTTCGCTGGACTTTGTTTGAAGTGGTTGCTGATCTGATGACAGGACTATCTAAAAAAAAAAAAAAAAAAACATCCCTCCTCATCTTTTGCCCCTTCAGGAACTTACATGACATTCATATCATAAACATATCACCAATATGTTCCTTACTACCGTCGTCATCCGGCACAGATAGACGTCACTAAGGGCGACACAGAAATCAAGAGTTGGTCAGTGTGTGGACCACAGTGTGTGGGAGCCTGTAAATGGGTAACGAGTGGGCAAATGCAGGATCTTGTCCCACAGGATCTTTATTGTGAATGAATCTAAAGATTGACCATGCGGTTTCCACTATCCTGTTTGGTTATAGATGATGTTATAAAGGAGGGCTGCAGCTCTTGCTTCTCTTGCACAGACCTAACCTTTGTTATTCAGAACGGGGTTGAATTATTCTTAAGAACGTTTACGACTGTAAACACTTAGCTACAAACATAAGTCAAGTAACATGTAGCAGATGTCTTCTTTTTCTACCGCTGATTTTACTCATCATCTAAGCTATGAACCTTTTCACAGCACCTCAGCATCTAAGCTATGAACCTTTTCACAGCAGTGTACTAATGCCATCCTGGTGGGAGAATTCTGTTCTTTTATAAATGTAACTCGCTTCTTCTTAGGAATTAAGGAATGCATGAAAAATCGATAGATCCATCCCAGGTGTATGGCCCAAAACAGCAGATTTGACATGCTCTAATGACTGTGTACCTTGCAGGGATTAGAATGTAATGAGTTCACAGGTACATCACAAGCTCCTTTGCACGGCTGAACATATTGTGCAGACAAACTAGGTGTGAATACTGTAGCAAGCAATTGTATATAGGTACAGAGGTTTGAGTTAATGTATGACATGAGCTGAATGGAATGTTAATTTGTTTTCTTTCATGAATGGGCTATGCTTGTCAGCTCTACAAAAGTCAAAATTGTCAAAAATAAAAGGGAAAGTATCCATAATTTACCACATGAAGTAATTAAAGAATGGGGAGTTTTAAAATTTTCAACAAAGGTTACATAATGTTGGCTCTACTAATATTTATTGTGCATCCTGGTTTGTGTGTTTGCTTGGTGAATTGCACATTATTGCACGTATGAAATGCAAAAAAATTCAAAATTGTCACATCCCTTTCTGGCAAAGCTTCAGTTTCAAATACTGTGCCATTTTTTTTTCCTTTCTCCTTTAAAATTTGCATTCATGAAATTATATTTTCTCTTTCTGTTCTTCTGCAAGCATACTGTGGAATCAGAACACAATGCAGTATCTCTATAATTTACATGACTCCCTCCTCTATTTTCCACAAATTACAACAATTGAAAATGTGTTTTGATCACACGGTGTTGGCACACTACTAAGGGGGGGGACAAAAAAAAAAACACAAATTGTGTCCAGATTTGAATTCCTTTTAGTGCCAGTTTTCCTTTTATACAGACAAAATTGATGCATCGACTGGCACTGACACAGAGTAAAAAGGTTTAAATCAAATACTTACCTGCAACGTATAAACGCGTACACATTAATAATTTTAGATTAGATATAATTTTACCTATTTATTTAATTTCACTTTGGGATCAATATAACATTTTTTTTAAGATAATGCTTCAGAAAATACATCCACAGGTGTGCCTCTGTTTCCTCAGATGTCATAAATTACATTTCAAGTAATGCAAAGTTCTGTGAAAATATTCCAGCATTTAGCAAATTTGAATTATTTTGCTAATCACAACTGACCTAGTCGGAGAGTGACAAAAAATGATGCATCATTTTATACAATGTATGTAAATTTCTAGTTCCAGCTATCTGAGGTGGACTAGAAACGGCATCCCACCTGACAATGCAAAACTGAAGTGTATATTTATAACATCTCTGCATTTACGTAATGAAGTCTCAAGGTCAAATTGAAACAAAGTGAAAATAACTGGGACTCTCTAAGTTTTCAAAAGTTGAATGTGTAACATTTTGTGTGCTCTAACCACAATACGTTTTATTTCAAAGCAGCAGTAAATCCATCCGTTTGTTCCTTGCTGTTTCATGCCCTCACATGTGTATAAATGTACATAGTTTTCATCCTTTGCTTTGTGTTTCCAATTGTCATTTTTGTATCATGAAGATACAATGTAGTTGAGCTCTATTAAAAGTGCTCTGCTCTTTCGGCTAGTCTCTTCTTAAAGGTTACAACTCACAAACCAAGTGGATCGTCTTTGATGTCTTTTTTTTTTTTTTTTTTATAAAAGCAACTCCAATACGCATCCACACCGTTTTTTTGTTTTTTTTCTAATTGTTCCTAATATTCTGTATGCACTGTTGAAATGGACTACACTAGACATCGATAAATTATAAGTATAATGGCTTTTATGCAACTGTTTAATCAAATGGAAAGTCTCCACCAAGTTATTTTGCACCTTAATATTTTATATGTGCAAACACGTTTACCACTTTAGGCTTTTTAACAATTCATATCACTGTAACTTGTTCTTATCATACTCCTGTAAATCATACATTTTAAGCTGCATTGAGCAGGGTGTCATATCTGACGACACGAATCAAACTTCCTGATGTCAGTGCTGATGAAGACCTAAGGGTTATGAGGGTTCAATTAGGACAAGTTATTTTATTCTGTCCTTCACCAGTTGCACCAAGGGGAAATTTTGCCAAACATACCAGGCTGTGTTTGCAGCAAGAGTGTGTTAGTGCAGAAGACATTAATAGTTCTGGCACAGTCAAAGCCAGTCATGATGGCAGCAGCATTGACTGAATTGGTTGTGAATGACCTAACGGTTGCTCCTGAAGGGAGGTTTGCCTGTTAGCAAGTATTTGATTTCCCCAAATCCCAGTTATCCAAGCTTGGAACACATAAAGACAAAATAACTCGACTGTGTTGCTTCAGTGCTGATGACCTCTTCTTTATCTATCTATTTTTTTTTATTTTTTTTTAGGTGTTGGGGGAAACATCTGTTTCCAATATGTTATGTACTTCTACTCATTTAGATCATTGGCAACCAATGAGCTACATACATTTTCTATAGTACAGTCAAAATCTACATTGGGGGAACAGAAGCAATATCAATAGTGACAAAATATATAAATTGTCCATGTCAATTAATTTCATTTTTCTTCTGAGGTTGGCTTGAACAATGCTGTGGAATATGCAGACACTTACGTCTGAGAACCAGAGTGGTCAGTAAGTTTAACTGAGAGTTTGGGGGATCTGAGGTCACAGCTGCTTGGATGTCTGTCTGGGCTATTTTAAACGATGCCATACATCAGCGCTTCAGTCCTTGCAGCCACATGCACACCAAAACATCCTCACATGCAGAGAGAAGGAACGAGAGCAAGATGGTGTACAACTTGGCTCTTTTCAAAAGGATAAGATCTAAAAACTAATTCAAAGAGATGTCACACCACAGACTCTAAACTGAGCTTTGAGAACATTATTATTATTATTATTATTTTTTCCAGTGGATGATTCTGGATGATTCTGGCTTAAGCAATGTGAAAACAGAGCAGCCCACTTTCCACCCCAGGAACTCATCTACCACCCTTCACCCCATACCTCCAGATTGTCTTACCTTTTCAGCACAGGGATCACAGTGACGAGCTAGGACTGGATGAAAGAGGCAATGGAGAGGAGACGGCACTAGAAATAGCTTGTCAAAGATAGACAATTGGGTGAAGAGAGTCCTGTGGCACCTCCTAACCACAGCTCTCCCTCTTGACTTTCAGTCATCAGATGTATCCATTTCCCCTCTGCAGAGCTTCATCAAATCTTACAACAGGGTAACAGAGGCAGCAAATTCAGTTGTTGAGCTGTCATCTTCGTAAAATCATGTTTTTCCCCCACCAATTTGGTCCTGTAAAGGTCAGACAGTCTGTATCATGCAAACATGTATGCCAGTAAATGGAAAAGGCTTTATGTCGTACCAGTCGTCTTGTCCTTTCCTGATTGCTGCCTCCAGAAAGTCATTCTAGATGGAGTACATCAAATATGAGCAGATATTCAGCTTTGCAATACTTGAATATCCTACAGGATCCCCGACTTATTCTTCCTCTTATGAAAGAAAAATAGAGACGGACTTTAACTATCATACCACAGGCCAGAGGACTGAGCGGTTGGCTCAGACCATTTTCAATCACTTGCTGAGAAAGATTCACATTTTAAGGGACTATCTTTACTATTTACAGAGAAAAAAAAGAGTGAAAGGGCAGTTCAAACATGTCTCATACTCAGGAAAAGGAAGGTCTGTTTTTAAGAAAAGGCTGAAAGTTTGGGAGCTCCAAGTGACAAAGTGACTTAATATTTGGGTGTGTGGAGTAAGCTGGCATGTTAGATGTTTTTTTTTTTCAAAAACTCTACATAGTTTGTGGGTTTTTCTGGCTGTGAACATGAAGGACACAAAAACCTTCCACAGTCCACAATCCAATAGTGGCGCGGGTAATCAGGCAATGATCATTCACAGAGATTTAGATATCGGAATAGTCATCCAATGGGGCAAGCGAATCTCAGAGGTCTGTGTTTGGGGCATGAGTCATGATCCAGTTATGAGAAAACTTGCAGAAGTCAGTCGTGGGCTAGGCAAAACAGGAAAACGAAAAACAAAAACAAACAAAAAAAAACAAACAAAAAAAAACACAGGGACATGAATTAGGTCAGAAACTTGGAGACCAAACAGGGGCAAGGAAAAAAAAAACAACAACTGGATTTCTGACTCGCTCATGCAGTCAATAATCTGGCAATGAGGCAGAGGCTGTGAAGAGCTTAAGTGCTACAGCAACCAGGTGAAGTGGGTAGATCATCAGACAAGGCGCAAGTGGGTTCAATAAACTGACACACAAAGGACAAGGCAGAAACAATGAAATCAAGAGGCATGGCATGAAAATGTGAATCATTAGGTGCATCCCATCTCATAGGATGGGATGCACCTAATTTCAAAAGAGTGTCAGGTTGATTGGCCGCGCTAAATTGCCTGAAGTTTGAAGCTGCGCACACACAGTTGTCTGTCCTGTCTGTTTTAGTATTGTCCTCTGATTCACCATGGTAACATGTC